CCTGGCTAAAATAACTTATAAGCAGACTATATTTACCAATTATAGGCAGCAGTGTCGACATTTAGCTAATTTTCATCATCCATCTTCAGGCATTTTCTGTGCTTCCTAAATTTTTGAACGAAAACCGATAGTTCATTAAAAAACTTAAAGCCTCTAAAAAATTATACTGCATCATAAGTTGATGAAATTTGGGATATTGGAGTTTTAAGTGATACTGACTGACTCTATAGAAAACCACTATGCTTAAAAATATCATTAAAATTGTGCCTCCCAAAAAAAATGTGTGGGGCTTAATAGGGCACAGAGACATTTTCCACGATTACTTAAAAATTGGTGTTAGAAGTATCAGTTTTCTTTTCATATTTTACAAAATTTATTCCTTTTAATTACATATTTCAATTCCTGTATAAATTGGTTTTATATATTCAATGCTTTGAACAATTTTTCGTGTTGTTGGAAAGTACAATATTATTCATTCAATCAGTTTTATTCAAATATTAAATAGTTAAAGCATGTCTGATATGATTTGAATCATTTATTACTCGATGGTAGTTTTAAAATTAAACTGAAACAAGAACTAGTAAGAATAAGAGTTATAATAGCAAAAGCGCAGTATTATTATATATTTTACCTACATTTAATATTTTTGGTTATTTTCTCATGGGACGACGACCGAAGTACACTTACATGATTTGTATATTTCGATTATAACGGATCAACTGACAAGGGTTCTGTCTGCCTGCGGGTGGCCTAAAACTTGACTATGTATTTATATCATGCATCCAAATTAACTCCTTCATTCCATCATAAAGTAAAAGGCAGACGTACATTGAGAATCTAGGATATGACAGAAACTATACTAGATAGGTGTATTCAATACAATCTAACAAGAGTATCAAACTGATTTGACATACATTTGTCCTGAACGAACTTAAGACCACTACATAACTTTGGTCATCAGAAAGAAATAACCTATGTCCACAGGGTGTAACTGAAAAGTTACGCCGAATTTTTATTATATATTTATTCGTTTTCGAAAATTGCCCCACACTTTTTCTTCGTTATTGGAAATACGAAAAATAGATAAGGATATAAGTTGTAGGGATTTTTTTTAATTTTAGGTTCGTACCTCAAAAACAATTGAGTGTTGACTGTCACATCTTGAGATCTTGAGACAGTTTTTGCTCTGTACCGTTAAAAATTAATACCTAAACATATTTAGGTACCAATAATAAAAATAACATGTAATTGTCATCTAAATATAAAATTTTAAAATAAAACCGTACTAATACTGTAAATTATAGGCACGTACCTATTCTCTCATATGATCGGTCTAGATATGTACAAAATATGTTATCTTTTTAAATAAATTCATTCACCAAAGATTTCACTTGGCATTGTAAAAGTAGCGACATTAGATAAACAAACATCAAAAATAAACAACAACAATTATTTATCCACTATATTACTTTTACCATTAACCATCGTTTCTTTCAATTTTCAATATACAGGGTGTTTGGAAGAGTTGGTACAAAATTTAAGGTGAAAATAGAGCCAAAAATATTAAAAGAAGTTGCTAAAACATTGGTCCTCCGGAGCACCGTTACTGAGATATGGCCCTCCAAAGGAGTCTTATCATTTGGATATTTTTTTAAATAACTTTGTTTCTAATTAAGATAATGGAATGAAAATTGTAGGTAATAATCATACCATAAGGGTCATCAAAATCGGTTATAAATAAGGATAGTTTTCTAACTACCCTTAACAGAAATTTTTCGATTTTTTTTTTATTCCTTTGAATTATCAAGCAACCGTGGTAGTAAAAAATCGAATGAAGTGCAAAGTCAAGCAGCAAGATGACAACTAAAAAATGTAAGAATTTAAACGAAAGCACGCGAAAGTGACAATCATAGTTACTGTTCTGAACCATACATTATTTAAAAAATAATTATTTCTGACTAAACGCAGAATTCGAAAAAAACGTAGGGACATTTTTTCTTCAAAAAAGTCGAATCATTAAAAAATAATATTATTTCTTCATTCAATTCAAAGGAATAAAAAATATTTCTGTTAAGGGTAGTTACAAAACTATCCTTATTTATAACCGATTTTGATGAAACTTATGATAGTTAAAGACCCTTATGGTATGATTATTACCTACAATTTTTATTCCATTATTTTATTCAGAAAGAAAGTTATTTTAAAAAATATCCAAACGATAAGACTCCTTTGGAGGGCCATATCTCAATAACGGTGCTCCGGAGGACCAATGTTTATAGGAACTTTTTTTACTACTTTTGGCTTTACTTTCACCTCCTTAAATTTTGTACCAACTTTTCAAACACCCTGTAACACATTAAACTTCGAAAACGCAACAAGACACGATAATGTAAAGAGAATTCATTATCTGCCGTAGATATCTGGAATAGATGGTTTATCAGATTTTCATAACAAAGCGATTTAAATAATTTTAAAACATGGAAAAGGCTTCATTTTAATCGTAATAATATCTGTTATACCTCTAAATAATTCGCTTATCTGATTATTCGCAGTAAGCGTTTAATTTTACTATAAATTGCTTTATTAAGAGCTATATTCTTGCAATAATAATAATATTTATATTTTCTCGGTGATTTTGAAAGAGTGAAAACTTTTATTTGTAACATTATCTCCAACAATTAAAATAATAGATAGGTATATAATAATTAAAATGTAACATAAATCTTATTTTTTCGTTTATTCGGAAAAATTATTACTAGAAAAACTTAAAAGTGCCATAAATGGCCATGGATATCAATGCCATAGGCTGTACTCTAATGAACAGTGACGTACTTATTTTTTTCGATTATACATCAAAAAATTTTTAATGACAACCCTGATTATGGTCTAGTTAAAAATAAAAGGCGTTCTGCTCTTTGCAAAAATATATATCATTTACCTAAAAAAATGTATACCGTATGTAGGTATACCTACATAGTAGAAAGTAAATGTAAATTTTAAAAAAAATTGAAATTGTCTATGACGAAACAGAATACGATGCCCTTATCGTAGATGGTTGGCTATGAAGAAAAACAAATTCATATAGTCAATGGGTCAACTAGATCATGGCCAACCATTTCCATTAAAAAAATAAACTTTGATCTATAAATCAAAAATCGCTAGTTATTAAAAAATTAAATACTCCACTTACACTTAAAATAATTTATTAAGTAACATATCAACATTTCAGAAAAATGTCCAGCTTCCCTCCATTTCAAGAACAAAAAAAATTATCGGAAAGTTCCGCTCATAATTAAATCATATTTTGAAAAAAGATTCAGTTCATCTACTGAAATTTGAAATAGTCATTGTATTTTGTTTCATTACTTTCTTAAGTTGAAAAATAATAATAATAAAATAATAATAACCTCATTTTTTCATTTTCTATATTCAATGGCACAGTAAAAACATAGAAATCAGGTATTTTACACATTTACTATCATTTTATTTGCACACAAACATCGACATCGTCTCTATTATCATCATGATACTTAATTAAAACGTTTTGTGTTTTTGTTTTTTTCCAATTTAATCAGTAACTCCGGAAATGCATAAACAAACCCATGGAAATGTTATAAAGGAAGACGTAGTTCTAGAATTTTATTAAAAACGTAAAATATGATTGTTTACTACTAAATGTGCAAATAAAGTAGGTATAATCAATCAATATTTACACCAATCAAGACAACAGTATCAACTTAAAGCAGAATCGGAAAGTTTAGAAGAGTTAATGTAAATATGATACCGGCTCATAGGAAACCTACAAACTCGTAAAAAGTGTTACAGAATTTTTTGTAAGAACGATAAAATACATGTATTTCAGCAGTTCCAAAACAGTTTTAAACACATTTTTAATTAGATTTTTTCTCTATGACCTTAAACTTCCGATACAAGTTTGTGACATAAGTTAACTTAGTTTTTCTCCTTCACCGCTTTCAATTTTTGACATAAGTTCATTAACACCCTGTATAGACATGCTGGAAGAATAACGCGCCAATGTCCTTGCCTGGATCTTCGGATGTGGCGGGGTCGCTCTTTACCCACAGACTATAGAAACGACTCCAAGCATAGACAACTTATGAAATACTAAATGTATGGGTGAGATATAACCTATAAAATGTGTTATATCTTAATTATCACAGCTACTCAGTACATATTGGAACAACGAATTATTTTGCAACTCTTAGCACAGAGCGGCCTTCGAATCTAGAGGTACTACGAAAGTAACTATAGTAGGATCATATTTGATGCAAAGTAATAAATCATTGCCTGTCAAGGGAACCAATGCAGTACGCTTTTAAATGTTTTAGAAATTGAATAATTTCTTTATACATTATGAAGGGACGAATGGATCAGTTCACGTCTGGCACCCTTGTTCCTACAAAAATTCCTTTATTCTCATAAACTATTTATTTTAAATGTAATTTATTATAAATCCAATTTGTTTTTTAAATTCCACATATTATGTAGGTACTACATTTTACCTCTGTGCGCGCCACTGTTGCTTACTTGTTTTTTGGAGACGTATAACCGACCACTTGACCAATCAGAATATTTCCTTGATTCCTTTGATAAAACTGTTGGTTAAAAAAAATACAACTGAAAATCACAAATAAAAATCACATCCGATTTATGAAAAGAGCGATTTTCACTAAAAAAAAATTTGGAATTCAATTGAAATACTGATACAATTACATTCTGCACTACCTTAAGCTTTTCTGTATCTCTAATGTGAAAAAAAAATATTCAGCAGGATGTTCAGGTTCTAGACATAATAAATACATAATACAAACAACTTGACATAAAAGGAAGATAATTTCACCCCATAAGTTTTCCTGGAATTCATTAACCTCTCGATTTTTTTTTCGCAGGCACAATTGATCGATCCGCGGAAAGTGAAAGTTCCGTTTCAAGTTCACTCCGACACGTGGTACCTGTAGCAGTACCGTTCACGTAAACCGAATACGGCACAGCGCGTACCAGTGCATACGGTACCAGTCGTAGAATGCCTGCCAGCTGACTCCGGCGACTCGATTTGCTCGTCAATCCGTGTCGACTCAGGCTCATGAAAAATGTAAAGCACAAAATGTAAATTATGCGGAATGGCTACTAGATATATTTGCTAGGCAGTGAAAATTCGGGTCAGTAGACACGACAAAGACGAAAAAAAATAAGTTTGGCGAGTAGTGGCAAATCATTTTGGAAAACGGTGCGAAAGGTGTCTAACTGACCCTTTGGTGATATGTTGGGAGCCGAACAAGCGGGTCTGAGTGCGGGAAAGCATGCCTTAGCCTGGATCTTGGGACAAGCTGACGTATGGTACCTGCTGTACAGGTGCGCCCATTTCGTTAGTAAAGGACAAGGACCACCCGCGCAGAGCAGCGTGTCCATTTTGGAGGATCTATTCGCGCTGGAGGACGAACAGCAGCTTGTGGATAACAGGGAGGATTACTACCAGAATTACGTGGTGCATGATCAGGAAGGTTAGTAGGCAATCATAGTAATCGCCCCAAAAAGTCTATTCATACACATGATGACACAGACAAGTACAAATTAAGCGTAACTATAAATCATAACGATGTATCTATACAGAGTTGTTTGGATTTATCTATACATATATGGTTAGCATAAGGCCCTTCCTACATTTCATCCATAAAAAGATTTCAGATAAAATACCAAAACAAAAAATAGAAAAGCAAAAAATAAGATTTTTTTATTTTTTTTACTTTTTTGACAAGTTGTGAAAATAAAATTTTTGAAATCATTTTTTATTAAGTAAAGAACCAATTTGTTGTAAAAATAATAAGAATTATAAATTCTTATGTTAAAAACGATGAAAATCTTAAAATATTTAAGTTTGACCAGTTATAACTCAGTCACTTTAGTCCAAAAACTTTTGAAAACGCATCATTTTGAAGGGAATCTCATCTAGTTTTTTTGTACAGCAATTTTCTTCCTACTTCTACTAAAAAAAAAATAGAATCAAAAAAGTAAAAAAAATCAAAAAATCTTATTTTTTGCTTTTTTTAAATTGTTTTCTAACGATTTTTTGCATAAAATTTTTCTTTTACATTTTTTAAATAAGCCGTTTCGATGGGAAATTCAATTCTCTACAAAATTTTTCCTATGGACTATACCGAAATTTTGCTTCATTTTCGTGTTATATTTAAAAAACTGCAAAAGTGCATTTTCACACCTATCTTCAATTTCAACCCACTAATTTAATAGCACCCCGCGGTTTTTTCATTTTTAATGACTCTTCGAACAAGTCATATGATGAAAATCCTTGAAAGTCTTATTACCTTTCTTTTTTGCAAAAAATAGAATTAAAACGTATAAGGGTAAACGCGACGAAAATCGAAAAATTGGTTTATTGTAAGTTTGAGCGGCCATATATCAGTCAATTTTCATCCAAAAATACTTTGCAACCTCTTATTTTGAAGGAAATTTTATCTACTTTTTTATGAAGCAATGCCTATAGGTACCTATCTTTACTCAAAAAAAAAAAAAAACGAGGCAAAAAAGTAAAATAAATCAAATAATCGAATTTTTTGCTTTATTTTTCGAATTGTTGATTAACGATTTTTTGCATAAAATTTTCCTTTTAAATTTTTTAAATAAGCCATTTCGATGGGAAATTCAATTCTCTAAATAATTTTTCCTATGAACTATAGCGAAATTTTGCTTCGTTTTCGAGCTACAATTAGAAAACTGAAAGGGGTGCATTTTCACCCCTATCTCCAATTTCCACCCACTAATTTAATAGCACTCCCCTGTTTTTTCATCTAAAATGATCCTTTGAACGATTCATGGAATAAAATTGCTTAAACGTCATAGCCTATTTTGCGATTAAATTTTTTTCATGAAACTGTTAAGGGCCAGATAGTCCCTCGGTAAACCTGAAGTTACATTAATGTACTTCTAATCTAAAAATTTGTAACTTTGTAAGGGGATGTCGAGTTTTGAAATCGGAAGAAAATCGAAGAAAAAAAAGTTAGTCACATTTTTCTGAATATTATTAGCAAACAAAATTCTATTTTTCAATCAACGCAAACGATCAGACAAGCCATACTTAATTTTTTTTAAATATCAACTAGATTTTTTATTATCAATACCGTAAATACATTATAGTATGTACAATATACATATTAATAACATTTCAAAAAAAACGACCGTATGTAATTGGAAAATGGAGATCCATTTAAATATTCAGCATTTCAGTGCAATTTTCTTTTTATTTTAGTTTAAGATCTATTTCATGATTTTCGGAAAATTCAGTCACATTCATAATTAGTAATTAGAGAATTACGATTTCTCAGTAGGTATTTTTCTTTTATATTTACAATAAAAACTACTTTAAAAAAATGATAAAATCATAATTTTCTTTAAAATCAGAACAAATATCCAAATTTGGGTGATTTTTTTTAATTCTTGTCTCCAGGATACCTAGCTTTGCATAGACTCTGATCCATCTCGTATTTCTACGTCTATATTGCATCAACCCAATATTTCACGTAAGAGACCATTGAATGTACATTGAAAAGGTTAGTGTACACACGAATAACATTGCTTTTGCGATGTTACTGAAGAAAACGTGATTTATTCTAGGAAAGTATTTGAAAATTAAACGCAGATACTGGTTTTTCTGCAATTTTACTTTTAGTAGATACAGGCTGCACGTAGAAATATTGCAGGAGATGAATTACTGGATCATTTTAATTGGAAAAGATCATATCGTGCCTCATATAAACCTATGTCTTATGTCCGATATTTGACGTAGACTGATACTGACTTTACTAAGTAACGATAAAAAATCGCTAATTATGCTAAACAGTGGCTGCGTACCTCCGATACAGCCACTAAGAACCACATAATCGTGACGTCGGATAATTAATTCAATTAAATCACCTTTGAAACCAAAATCAATAATTCACTCTAACTTAATAAAATACACATAAATAATTTATATGTATTTCTATGTAACTCTACAAACATATATTTTAGGCTATCTCAAGAATTTTGTAATAAACACCACGTTCTCATTATTAAAATACCAAATTTAGTAGTATAAGTTAGGTACCAATCTTATAAATTAGCCTTAAAAGTTTACCGTGGATACAGTGAGCTGATTATTTGAATTTTAATTTCATATGTACTGATTGTAACATTTGGCATTACCTATGACGAGACGTTTTACTATTTTTCTTAACAGAATGTACTTTTGTAAAGATATGATCTAAAGAAACCCACTTACGGCTCACCCAATACCATAATGTTTAATCAAATTTAAAATATCTTGAATGTAAAAAACAATAGGGGAGAAATTTCACCCTTAGAACTGTGCTCCTAACAAATTTATTGCGTCCACATATTTTTATGGAAAATCAAAAACGAAGCTGCATGTGTTCAAACTTAAACACCCCATATCTAGAAAACTCATAACCAATAACGTGTACTAAATTTGACACCGACACGTAAACTTTAAGAAGATATTAAAAGAAAATAAACATATTTCAAAAGTTATTAGATGATATTACCAAAACTTTGTCAACAAGTTGTGTTCAAGCTGCTCTATATTCGTAAGGAATCAGAATTGACCCCTAGTTCATTTGAACTCCTAGACCTTGACCGAGAAACACTTTGTGAAATTTGGTAATTGAATTATAGGACACCCTTTATAAGTAGTTTAACATATACAGTACAAACTAAAAAATGGGACGAAAGAATTCTTAAAAAGGTTTTATAATACATGTATGAATTTTTTACCCAGTAAATTATAGAAGAAATTGTCACAATTTACTGGCAAAGCTCTAGTAACTTTTAGAATAAAAATCTGATTATAAAACGCAGTGATAATTACAAAATCTCTATCAAGATATTTTTTATATTAATACATTTTCATTCATAGTTAAAGTGGCTTAAATAAAATAAAAGACAAATTTATTTAATTCAAAATCAATTTTTATTACATATTAGTCTCTAAGTACTTACTAATGACGTGTCATTTAATTAAAATATAGTAATATCAATAAAAAGAAGTGACAAAATTGTGTACACACAACTAAGTACAACACGCTCATCAAATTCTCTTGCCTGGTTTTCTTAGAACACGCGTACTATAAGTATAAACATTATGCATCCATTACAAAATATCTAATAATAATAAAAACAAATAATTAAAAATCATCATTACGTTTTTTTTTGTCAGTCTTCCCTAAAAGTAATAAACAACAGTTAGCAACCCTAAGACAAATTAATCGTAAATTAAACAAATTAATCGTAAATTTTATTAATGTACTTAATTAGCTTTCACTAGAATTGATTTATTTGTGCATATTATTATTCAATTCATATTTTTTCCACCTATGACAAAACTAAAAATGTATAATAAATCTTTGAGACAAAAGGATCAATCAAGGACTGTGTTCTGGAATTATTCTGCCTATCAAAGTTATTAGCTTCTAAAAAATGGCGTTCAGTTACTTAATAATCAAAACATAAAATAACATTCATCATTTTTATCTTGAAAAGCAATGAATATAAACTACATATTGTATTTCTCGTTATTTATGTCAAAATGTTGTCTCTATTTTATCTTGTATAAAAAACGTTGATTAATCCGTTAAATCGGCGTTTTAATTTCAATAAAATAATCTGTAACGTAACAATAAAATTCATCACTTATGATTTCTCTATTGGATATTTTAGATATTTTACTTCATCAACTCATTCGGCACTTGACATTGATTTTATGCGAAATGTAGAAGGAAATGCACTTGAATTAAGAAACTACCTACATACTAAATAGGTATATTTATTTCCTTTAGAAATAATTAACTGATGTTTGCACTTGACATTTATAGTTTTTTTAATTTAGATAAATTGCGTTATACCAAGAATAAACCGGAAACTATACAAATCGGTCAGATCAAGATGAAGAAAATATAAAATTATATAAACGTATAAAAGAGAGAATGATTAAAGTTGTCTTAAAAGTTTGCAAACTTAATTTAACAATAACTGAAATATCAATACTTACTAATTAATGTATCTCATTTTGGACGCACTGTATAGGATTAATATAGGTACTCGTATATGCCAAGAAAATCACAAATCACCCTCTATATTACTTTTATGTCAGAGTAACTTAGATACATAATGGAACATCGTTTTGTAATTTAAATGCTAATTAATTCACATATATTTCCATATTGCTTTAGCATGTTTAAGGAAATAGCCAGTAACGGAAAACAATGGCTTTTAGTTTCAAGCGTTTTATATCAGTTGTATCATTGACGTCGTTCCTTTGCTAGTGATTAAATATTAAATCCAATTTTATTAGAAGTAGTGTAACAATAAATTTTAAATGAAGCTGATTGAAAAGAGTACATGTAAATTCGAAGATTTCACCAAACGTCAACGAAAGTAGTGAAGACATTTGCACCCATGGGTAAATGTAGATAAAATTATTTCTTAATACTTGTTTAGTAATGACTCAATAATATGTACTGAGTATTGACATTATCAGATGCAGTTCTACTACTAACAATATTATTTTAATAATATTGTAGTTTTGTTCACGAAACTTCACAAATTTTTACCGAGGCAAATTGCATTTTTTGTAAAAATGAATGTTCTCAATGTGCTTTATACTCAAAAACGCCTCTGTCAAAAATGGGTTATTCACATGAATAACCAATAAACACACGAGTTTTCAAGCCCTATATGCCCAATAAAGGCAACACGATAAAAACACAGTACAAAATACATCAAATCGATTTTGTCGGCTGAATGTAGTCATAGACCCATAGAACAAAGTAGAATCTACTCCTTTTTAGTATGGCTGACTTGTTCAAGGTCACAATTCTTTGTCCAAAAAACCTATTTATAAAAAAAATGTACATCCTTAGTGATTTATATTAAGATAGATACTAATTTGAGCATAGTACGCACACAAATGTTATACGAATAAATTTGCTCTAGTCATAATTAATGTGTAAATAAGTTTATGAACACAAAAATATAATTCATCAATTGTCGGTTTGTCAAAAAGATCCGTGCGCCCATATAGTTTTACAATTGCACCAATTATTATCAATATAGAATAGTAATAAAAGAGCCCTACAGTTAATTGATAAACAGGAAAAAGCATCCCATTTTGTGAAATGCCAAATATCCTCACTATTTTTCAAAAAATTTTTTAAAACATGATCGTAATCTGTAAAGTGCTACCGGCAAGTTGAGTCAGTCAACAAACTTTGAAATGCATATTAAAAATCATAACTAGATTTATTATTGTGCATAAGTATTACGGTATTATAGTACTGCTAAAAGTTGTGTTGAACTATCATAAATTTAAAAATATGTTTTTATGAAGACTACACATTTTGATATACCGGGTAGGAATTAGGAAAGTACCTTCCACAAATAAGATCCACTTCTTATTTGTGGAAGGGCGAAATGGGCGGCGACTATTAGACGCCTTCACTATACCCATCCTTGTCTATCACATGGATTTCTATGGCTTACTTTATCGCTCTCACGTAACTTCAGATAGACCATCGGTAGTTTCCTACCCGGTATACCATTGCCTGCTTTGAAAACAGAAAAAGTAAAATTGAAAGTATCATCCCATTTAATTCATGAAGTAATGATTCAATGATTCTCAGATCTCAATTACAATAACAGTACGATTGTAAGTTTTATCAAGAGAAACGCCAACGGCCATGATTTTGTCGTGGTGCAAACGGCGAGAATTCGTCCACAGCCATGCTCGCGTGGCACGGCGAGGGACGGAAAAAGAGACAGAACAACAAGACGCGACGGTAATAAAGGAAGATGGCGATCGAATAGTGTCGAAGGGCAGGTGTAGTTAACATGAAAATAATTTCCATAAACTGACAATGGCAATGTCGAATTTGTATTCAAAAATATCTACAAAACCGGTGAAACGTTCTCAAGAAAATATGGCAGTGTCGCAGACAAACGCGTGGATGAACGGTAAGATAATTATTCTGATTGCGTGATTAGGGCGTTGCAGATGTAAATAGATGAGTGCAATGCGCAGGTTCTAAACGAATATAAATAACAATTTGATTATTTTGTTTACACCCATGCCTTCCTTTTGAAGAATGAACGTTTTATTCGTAACTGTAAAATCTACGAAAAAATCAAGTACGTATACACGTTATGAAAAAACAAATATGACGCCTTCATCAAGTTGTGATCGAGTTACAGTTTAAATTAACGGCAAAAATTATACGCTACTTCTGACCTGACCCAAATAATGTATTGCATTACTCTTGAATATAACTATACTGTTATATATTTAAGTAGTTCTGGGACTAATAAATTTATTTTTTATAGCAGAAACACTTAATAATGGCTCGCTTAGTCTATCACCACCGCATGTCATTTCACAGAGGGAAAGTCTGCAGGTGATGCAGCCTGCCAGTGCTCCAGGATCACCACCTTCAAGCCCATGTGTATCTCCTGTTGGACCGCCAGGAACCCTGGACCCGAACTGGCAGGCTTCTAAACCCACTGTACGGGAAAGAAATGCTGCTATGTTCAACAACGATCTAATGGCAGACATTCGATTTATTGTAGGATCCCCTGGTGCTACACAAGTTATCCCTGCACATAAATATGTTCTTGCCACGGGCAGCTCGGTCTTCTTTGCTATGTTTTATGGTGGGCTAGCAGAATGTAAAGAAGAGATTGAAGTTCCGGATGTGGAACCATCAGCATTCCTAACTTTACTTAAGTATGTATAACCTTATAGCACTTTTTATATTTAATTGCAATTGCAAATATTTGCAGGTACCTGTACTGTGATGAAATTCAGTTGGAAGCAGACACAGTTTTAGCAACTCTTTATGTAGCCAAAAAATATATTGTACCTCATTTAGCACGTGCTTGCGTAAATTACCTTGAAACTAGCCTAACGGCAAAAAATGCTTGCCTACTCTTAAGCCAATCTAGACTGTTTGAAGAACCTGAGCTTATGCAGCGTTGTTGGGAAGTTATCGACGCTCAGGTAAGCATAACTCACTCCCTTTCATGCCTAGATCTCACTACCAACTCTGAGCAATATGAACATAAAAGACACTTTAGCTTTAGTGCTCAATTACAGCCCAGAATTCCATAGATATAAACTTTATAGGTGTTAATTTTAAATGGTCCTGCATTGTTGCTTAGAAGTGTCTTTTATGAGATTATATAAAAAATCTAGAGTACAATGAGTCATCTATGTTCAAAGACCTTATATGTCTAATTTATGTTGTAATTAGCTAAAACTGCCATGTCCCTTGATTTGTAAACAATTAAAGGCTGATCAATGTCTTGTCAGGAAAATTAAATTTAACGTCAAGTTGAATTTAAGAAAAATATATGTGATCATTTAAGATTATGAAAAACGCTCAACATTTTATATACATATCTTATGTATTAATTATTTTTGTACATAATATTATTTGTTAATATGTAATCGGTTAATTTGAAACTGATATTTCAAACTTTGGTTTGAATTGACCGATTCGTTGCTTTTTCCACTGTGTTTTTAATCCACATATTTACAGCATTTTGATGTTTGAATGATGTAATATTAATGTATGTATATCACTGTCTGTTAATATATGGATTGCAAAAACATACTGGACTCATTTATTATTAAAATCTATTGTGCCCAATCCTTATTCCGCTACCCTATTAACACTAACAATTCAGTTACGCAGTAACATAATGGCATTGGCATTTAAATAGCATAAAAAAACTGAAATTACTAACACAAAAAATAATGCCATGTACTTAAAGCCTTTATCTTATTTAGGCCGAAATGGCTCTGAAATCGGAAGGTTTTGTAGACATCGATATGTCCACTTTAGAGTCCGTGTTAGGTCGAGAGACGCTAAACTGCAAAGAGATGAATTTATTAGAGGCCGCCCTAAATTGGGCGACGGCTGAATGTGGAAGGCGAGAAATAGAACCAAGCCCTCAAAACAAAAGAGCTGTCCTCGGAAACGCTTTATACCTCATCAGAATACCTACGATGACTCTAGAGGAGTTCGCCAATGGTGCAGCTCAGATCGGAATCTTGACGCAACAGGAAACGATAGACATATTTTTTCACTTTACGGCAAACAATAAACCAAATCTGCAGTACCCTATAAAACCCAGAGCCGGTTTAAAATCTCAGGTAAGATTGATTTAAAAACGTACTTCAAAATGATAACAACTATTCTTTGTAGGTTTGCCACAGATTTCAGTCTTGCGCCTACAGGTCCAACCAATGGAGGTACCGCGGTCGGTGTGACAGTATCCAATTTTCAGTGGACCGCAGAATATTTGTTGTGGGATTTGGTTTGTATGGCTCTTCTAACGGTGCGGCCGACTACAACGTGAAGATTGAACTGAAACGCCTTGGTAGAGTTCTAGCGGAAAACAACACAAAATTTTTCTCGGATGGCTCGAGCAACACCTTTCACGTCTATTTTGACAACCCTATACAAATTGAACCCGAATCTTTCTATACTGCTTCCGCAATTCTCGATGGGGGAGAACTGAGCTACTTCGGGCAGGAGGGCATGAGCGAGGTGACCGTCGGTCAGGTGACATTTCAGTTCCAGTGTTCCTCCGAGAGCACCAACGGGACGGGGGTCCAGGGTGGTCAGATTCCGGAACTTATATTTTATGGACCGTCCCACGACGAACACTAACTTGAAACGGCAAAGGTTCTTTTCCTTACTGCGTTACTTCTACAGACTGTTCTCCTTTAGTTCTTTTAAAGTGCTGTGAATTTTTTAATGATACGTAGGTTATTTACTTTTTTTTTTGTATATTTCTATTTTAATTCTTGGGGACGACGTAAACCAAAACTGAATATCTCCGTGAGACGTTGTGTTCAAGTCAAAGATACAAATTTTGTATAGGCAGTTGTTAAATAATGTATTTTGCAAAGGTATATATTATATAATCAAGTTTAAATAAATATATCCGCAACCGTTGGACTTTTCTCAAAATTCGCCTACTTAAGCGTCCATGCTAGCGTAATCCTATTTATTTACTCTAATAAATAAATAAAAAAATATATATAACACTTTCTAAGAAATATATTTATAAGCAATTGACGATTTTTTAAAAATCCTTAAGCAATAAACGTTACAATCAAAATGGGGAAAACCGAACAAAATTTATTTTTATGTCGCATATGTGAAAGGGTAAGATATTTTTATGAACTGTGCATCCTTTTTCTTAATATTGGCATGTATTACAAGTAGATTAAACGTTCTTAATGTGTATCTTCAATTGTCCCAGACCCAACTTTTAATAACGTGACAATACCCAAAAAAATAATATTTCCTAAACAAAAAATATGGATAATCCAAGTTCATAGGCAAACGTCGAAGTTTCGATTACTGAAAAGTATGGACGTTCTCAAAGTATTACCATGAAGTGTGATACCACTATATGATACATAAACTTAGCTTTTAAGGTACTATCAAAGCATTTACCAGAGTAATGTAATCAAGTATTACATAAAATACTGACCAATCAAGTTGCATTATGCTAAATATTAGCTTTTGCCATTTGAGTCGGACGTGGTGGAATTTTGGCATTTATGGTGGAAAATCACAATTTGTTGATTGCGAATACTTGCTTACATTGCTGACATTTGTTATTAAAGTCATTATGTGATATGAAAATTATATTAAATTATAATTTCATAAAATATATATCTCAGTAGTTTAATGTGTTTTATTTATTAAAATCCTAATTACAGAAACCATAGAAAAATAACGAATAAAATGAACATTTAATTATACCGTGAGCAGCAAAAGTATGAAATATATTTATTTAAAAATCAGATGTTCGTTATCTGAAAAATCGCTCTGACCCGTCAAATTATATTTTTAGTTGTGCATTTTCTGAAGCAATTTTCATTTATACAGGCTATCCCCTAAAAAACGCTGCAAGCCATAACTCCGTCTTTTATAGTCTGATTTTAAAAAACAAAAAATTGTATGAAATGGCTCTAAATACATTATAGAGTGAGCCTATTGAGGCGTATTTATTATTATTTTTTTTTTTTTGAAATGCAATAGTCAACTTTTTTCAAATGGCAATATGTTTTTTTTATTTATTATTGTTCAGAATTCTATTCTGAATTCAACGATGTATATAAAGTCTACCTTTGTGTAACGTGTATTACAGAAAAAGCGTGAAAATATTAACAAGCATATTTTGACTAATCATGTCTGCCTGGAAAACAAAAAATAATACAACAAAGCAAGTAAATGTCATTTTAGCGTTCGGGTCCCAGTTTTTTACGCATTATACTCTTTGTGTCATTTACAGTAGGTTATTGAAATAAGCTCAACAGCGCAAAATATGTGTAATAATAATCAATTGACGGACATGATTCAGGTATACCTTGCATGTAATAAAAATCTTGGTGCAGGAGTCTGCCTTTACAGAGAACTATTTCGTCAGAAAGAAGTTCCAGAACCACGTAGATTTGTAAGATGAAGAAAATTTGAGAAACTAAACTATGGAGCGTTTAAGAAACCAAAGCGAGAAGAACACCAATCTAATGAAAACATCGAGTTCAATGTTCTTAACGTTGAAGAAAACCCAAAAATTTCCATTCGGGAAATTTCTAATAATAATAGAACATCAAAGAGAAGTGTACACACAGTATTGAAAAAGCACAAATTCAAGCCATACATTCCTCAAAAAGTGCAGGCAATAGAGGACGGCTATTTTTTGTTTTCCATGGCACAGATGATTAGTTAAAATACATTTGTCATGAATTAGTGTCTGGGTGCTGAATGCGGTATCGACTAATATTTTGTCATCTTTTCTGTAATAAATGCTTTACAAAAGTAAAGTTCACATACATCGTTGGATTCGGAAAATAAATCTGCACAATAAAAAATAACAAAATAACTATATTGCCATTTGAAAAAAAAAGTAAATGAGCTCTAATAGGCTTGCTTTACAGTGTATTTAGAGCCATTTCATTTAATTTTGTGTTTTTTAAAATCAGACTATAAATAATGGAGTTATGGCTTTCGGTTTTTTTAGGAGGCCCAAAAAAAGTTATGAACTTTTTTAAATGGGAACCCCACTTTTTTGTATTTTTATTCAATTCTCCATGGAATTCTGATCATTTTTTATGTAACATAACCTATACCTATCTTTAACCGTTTTCAAGATAATGGCGTCTGAATATAGAATATGGAAAATTTTCAAAAATTACTCTCGATACGTAAGGACTGTAACGTTAAAGTCGGTGGGAACTGGTGTACTGTCCGTTAAATACATTTTGTGTTTTTCAAATATTTAAGCACAACTAATGAATTTAATTGTTAATTTTAATTTGTTTGGTACAAACTGACAAAGCCAGAACACAGCAAGAATAATGTGAAATATTCAATCACAAATATCCAAATCATACAATCATTCATACAATCATACAGCTACTGTAAGAAAAATTTGCAAAAAATTCAGGATTATAAACTAATTCAAACAAACAGAGTTAAATTAAATGTTCAAATTGCCATCCATTTTTCTTGACAATACCCACGCCTATGTACAAACTCATATTGAACATTATTTAGTACATTTCTGTCAATATTCCTAATTTCCTGCCTGATTCGGGTTTTTAAGTCCTTGATGTGGATCGGTGGATTTACATTAACTTTGGATTTTAAATAACCCCATAAGAAGTAATCCAAAGGAGTGACATCGGGTGATCTCAGAGGTCACTCGGTTGGTCCCCGTCTTCCAATCCAACGCTCAGGAAAACATTCGCCTAAATAACCTCGGCCTTGCCGAACAAAATGAGGTGGCATGCCATCCTGTTGAAAATACAAGGTATCGCTTGGCATGTCAGGTTCATTTGCGTTTGGAAAAATTTGAATGAGGGCGGGAATTAGATCAAACTGAATATCATTCTCCCGTGAGGTTTTCTTCGTTGAAAAAAGGGCCAAGAACCTTATCATTAATTATGCCTGCCCACACAGTCAATTTCGGTGGGTACTGAGTATGTGCCTCAGTTATCTAATGAGGACTGTTTTGACTCCAATACCTACAGTTTTGGTAGTTAACAATACCATTCAAACAGAAAGTTGCCTCGTCTGAGAAAAGGATTTGCCGATGAAACTGTGGGTTGCGGATGCGGCGATCAGGATCATCTTCGTTGAGTTCTTATACTAAATGAATTTTGTACGGGTGATATTTCTCTTTCTTCAAAATACGCAAAACTGATCTTTGGAAAATTGCATTTCCCCCAGCGATATCTCTGCTGGGCTATGAAGATTTTCTTGCAACTGTAATAAGATATTTAACTTAATGTCCTCGTCTATTTTCATATGACTTGTTTTGGGGATATCTTTTATGTGACCAGGATCTCGAAATTTCTTGGCAATTTTGCATACAATGGCTTGCTTGATTGGATGATCTGGATACTTGTTATTGAATATATCACACACTTCTTGTTGTGTTCTGGCTTTGTCACCATGTCCCAAATAAATTAGAATTTCTATCTGCTGCGTTTCTGTTAGATGTGCCATCTATACTCCGCGGTCGAAATTATAGAGAGTGACTCATCGCTAGCTTTTGAACTAGTAAGGGGGATGAAGCGTGCCGGGAACGAAAATCCATTGGCGTGTCTGCGTAAAAGGCAACAAGATACAGAAAATATTGAAAAAAGATAATAAAACATAACATCTAATATTTTTTTACGGTTTGCTATAACCGGCACTTTAATCCATTTTAATTATTACAGCATTTTAAAACGTCCCAGTTATGTGTGTTTTTTTAATTTATAAATTTATAGCAATAGAATTAGACCCATTGTCTACGCTTATGCTATGACATTTCTCAGGACGGGTAAATCAAGTCCGTTTACACTCACTAAAAAAGCATTTCCCTATTCCCTACCAAGTGCAAAAGACAGAGATAGAATATAGATCGTCATTCAGTGTAACTCAGTCTATAGATGATTATAGATTCTATCGATGTGCGTAGCAAGCGGCACAAAGATAAATAATATTGAACCGTTATAAAAATCATTTTATATTTTATACGCATTATAGTAATAGTGTTTATATTATGTCTGAGTCACTCTCTATAATTTCGACCGCGGAGTATAGTTAAGTAATTGCACTGTCCTAAATAATAAAAAATAGTAGTAGTGAACAAGGTACATCACTTTCGACTGACTTTAATGTTACCTATTTAATATTCAGTTGCTTGACGACGGCTACAATGAGTGTTTTTTTGGAGAGTTTTCTTTACAAAATGACACGGTGCTAAAAATTTGCAAAATAACCTGGCTCGTAACTTAAATAGTGACATTTAACAAAATCATATTTTATACAAAAAAATTATCCATTTTTAATTAAATTATACCTAAATACCTCACTTATATTTTTTACATTCAAGTCATTGCGTCCTAATGATCAAAATAAATCACCGAACCACTTATTTCTTATGGATTTTTCTGATTTGAAGCATCTTTCTGTGAACCACACAAATCTAAGATGGAAAAGTAAACATGGTTTTATTTTAAAACCAGCAGGGTAAATCTTAGGGTAATTTTTGAAAATTTTCCAAATTCTATATTCAGACGCCATTATCTGGAAAACCGTTAAAGATAAATATAGGTTATATCACATAAAAAATGATCAGATTCCCATGGAGAATTGAATAAAAATACAAAAAAGTGGGGTTTCCATTTAAAAAAGTTGGCCTTGATTTCATAACTTTTACTCTGTATAAATGAAAATTGCTTCAGAACATGCGCAACTAAAAATATAATTCAACGGGTTCCAGCAATTTTTCAAATAACGAACATCTGATATTTAAATAAATATATTCCATACTTTTGCCGCTCACGGTATAATAGAGTGGTTTCCATACGTAAAACGTGATATAAATATAAAATAAATTCAATAATTCATATATTTACTGTTTTGTTTATTAAAATATTTCATTGAAACGCCTCAAAATAATATTAAAGTGGAGAAATGATGACATATGATAATGACAAAAGAAAAATTAGAAATTTTAATTAAATTTT